ACTCAACCCCGGCGGAGGAGGGGAATGTTTGCCGATAATATTCCCCTCGACTCCGCACGAGCGCACCGAGACTTCCGTAAGTCAGGTGCGAGAGGACAAAGGCGCCGAGGCCGCTGAGTGCCGGGCACGCCTAGAGGAAGGCACTGTGGCCGCCGTGAGCCACGTGCGTAACAACAAGCGCTTCGAACGCGCCGGCGGCCCGACCAAGGGGGTCCGGGGCCGCCAGAAGAAATCAAGTCGCGTACGGACGCGACTTGCCGCGAGGACGTCACCGACGAACGGACGCCCCGCGACCGAGGCAGAAGACCACGGAAGAGAAGCCGGAACCGACGCTGGCGGCCCAAGCGGATCGACCTGGCCGAGCCGTCGTCACCGAAGTAGTCGACGGTGTCATGTGCTTCATGACATCGAAGATATACAACGTCCTCGGCTCGATCGAAACCCAGGGGAACGCGTTCAAGCCTCATACCATTGCAGTCGATAACTGCTCGGGGTATAACTTGGTGAGGAAGGCCGACCTTCCTCCCGATTGGACGCGCTACGTCGTACGCGACGCACACCTGCCACGGTTGGAAGGCGCGAACAGTAACCCGCTCAAGCTGACAGCGGTCGTGCAGCTGGCCGTCCGACTGCGGAACACGACGTTCCGCATTCCGTTCGTGGTCGCCGACCAGCTCGCGGTGCTCGTTCTCCTGGGCACGGCGTTCATCGATGCGCACGTTCGAAGTATCGACATCGATGCGCAGAGGCTCGAGCTCCGACAAGGTGGTTCCGTCGCCATTGTCGATGGGAAGGGGGAGCCGTCTCCCCCAACCCGGGGCCACGGTCGCCAGTCAAGTCGGGCCGACGTACGCAAAGAAGCCCCACAGCCGATCCGTCTCGCCCGATGGGTCACGATCCCCGCGATGTCGCAAGCACGGATACGGGTCACTACCGCGGGGAGCGGCCTCGTTTTCTTGGACCCCAACCCGTCACTCCAACGTCGACACGGAGTGAGGCTCACGAACGGTGTAGCTGAGGTCTTACCGACCCAGACCTTCGACGTGATCGTGGCGTATTTCTCGCGCCAAGCGAGGCGGCTCCCAAAGCGCACAGTCGTCGGTTACGCGAAGCGCAATCCGTTGGCGATCATGACGCCCGAGCGCCGAGTCGGGGCGGAGATCGCACACGCGCTGCATCTCACCGACATGGACGTGCAAGCCGGGAGAGGGGGAGCTGGTCGACCAAGCTCCCCGGAAAATAAGACCGCCGAGGGAAGTCACGCCGGCCCCGGCGATCAGCCGGCGAGGTGCCCATCATCGACGGAAGGCACGGCGCGAGTCACAAATAAGGATCCCGAAAATTCGCCGGCGAATTGGGAAAAAGAAATGGACTTGTCATACATCGGCGATGACAAGCTCCGCGCACGGGTACTCGACATGATCCGTAAGCATTCGAGTCTGTGGAGCGGTGCGCTCGGTACGATACGAGCAACGGAGCACGGCATACCACTCGAGGCAGGGACGAACCCGATTCGTTCTATGCCCTACCGAAAGGGGCCCGCCATGCGTGAGATGATTGCTAAAGAAGTCAACAAGATGTTGAACGCCGGAGTTATCGAACCCGCGAGCACCGAGTGGGCTTCGCCGGTGGTGCTCGTCCCGAAGAAAGACGGCTCTCTTTGGTTTTGCGTTGACTACCGACGTCTCAACGCAAAGACGGCAGCGGATTCGTATCCGCTGCCCCGGATAGACGACTGAATCGAATCGTTAGGGGATGCAGTCTTCACTACGCTCGACTGCAATTCAGGCTACTGGCAAATCCCGGTCGCGCCGGAGGACCGGGATAAGACCACATTCACCACACATATGGGTACGTTTCGCCATTTGCGTATGCCGTTCGGACTGAAAGGGGCACTGGACACCTTCGAACGTGCATTGGACATCATGTTGTCCGGGCGTAAGATGGCAGATATGTGTCGTATACCTCGACGACGTCATAGTTTTTTCCCGAACGCACGAGGAGCACGCCGAACACCTCGACACTGTCTTGAGCTTGATGAGGACCGCCTGTATATCCCTCAAGCTCAAGAAGTGCAGCTTCTTCCGTCCGAAGGTGCATTACCTGGGGCACGTGATATCCCCAGTAAGCTCAGCGTGGCCGACACGGCGGCAGACGCCTTCAAGACGTTCACGTTCCCGAGGACGCTTACGCAGGTGCGCTCGTTCCTCGGGGCGTGCAACGTCTGCCGCCGTTTCGTCAAGGGGTTTGCCGAGATTGCTCGACCGCTAACCGATATGACCGGCAAGGATGGCGACCCCAACTTCGATAATCCGACGGAGGCCCAGCTTCAAGCGTTCGAGGATCTCAAGGCAAGGATGATCGCTTCGCCGATACTTGCGCTTCCGCGGTACGGTCAGCCGTACATGATCGATACCGATGCAAGTACGGACCAACTCGGGTGTACGCTGCTGCAAGAACACGACGAAGCCAACGACTGGCGTCCCGTCGGATATTGGTCGTATTCGTTAAACGCCAGCGAACGCAACTATAGTTGCTGTATACAGCGCTACGGAACGCGAGTGCTTCGCTGTAGTGTGGGCCGTCCGCATACTACGCTCGTACGTCGAGGGCACGAAGTTCACCGTCCGAACGGATCACGACGCGCTGAGGTGGCTCATGTCCCTGACCGAGAGCTCCGGAAGACTCACCTGGTGGCGGCTACGTCTGGCTGAATACGATTTCACCATTCAGTACCGCCCCGGGCGCTTGCACCAGGTCCCCGACGCCCTGTCACGCCTCGTATCACCGAGGGTCGCCGACGACCCTCGCCCGGCTGTCCAGGTGGACGACGACATCCCCACCTACGACACGGGCACGACCGTTCGTTATGTCTCGGATGAGCTCGCGGAACACGTATGCACCGCGAGCTGCGACCACGAGGCCGACCACGTCTTCGTGATCACAACGAACCGAACGAAATCCCGAAGGAATTTGCGCGCCCGAGCGCGCGACTAGCCCAGGAGCGACGACGAAGCCCCTGATCTAGAAGAACTCGACGCTTTCTGGGCAGAGAACGAGGAGTTCGACGCCGTGGACCTCGATCGCGCCAAAGACTTCGAAGCCGATACGTCCGGTTCCCAGGTCGCCCCTCTGCAGGACGACCTACCGGCCCCTCTTACGATAGAGGAGATAGCCGAGGAACAACGGGTGGATGAATTCTGCCAAACGGTATTGGCACGACAGTCAGAGTCCCGGGACTCCGCGTTCTTCGAGAACCACCAAGGGGTGCTCAAACGGAGACACCCCTTCGACCCTGATATCGTACAGGTGGGGGTCCCTCGGACTCTACGCGCCCGGTTGCTGCGGCTCTACTATAACCCGGCCATCGCCGGGCATCCGGGGCAGAACCGCATGTACTACGCGCTCCGTCGCGAGTACTACTGGCCACACTTGGCCGCAGACGTCGCGTCGACCGTACGAGATTGTCGAACCTGTGCCATGAACAGCGTCAAGCTTCGGAAACACCTAAACCGATTAAGATTGTTTCCGACCACGCGGCCGTTGGAGAGCCTCGCGATCGATATACTGGGGCCGCTCCCAAAGACCAAGGCAGGGAAACGATTCCTCCTGGTTATCACCGACCGCTTTACGAAGTTAACGCAGGTCGTCGCACTGCGGACCGTAACCGCCTACACCGTCGCAGTGGCGTTTTGCGAAGCGTGGGTCTTTAAATGCGGCGTCCCACGCTCGCTACTGTCGGATAACTGACCGCAGTTCAACGCAAAGTTCTTCCAAAGCACATGCTGAGAGCTTGGAATTACGAACCTTTATACGTCAGCGTACCACCCTCAGACGAACGGCCAGGTGGAACGCTATAACCGAACGATTGCGTCGATGCTCCGCAATTACGTGAACGAGCATCCAGACGACTGGGACGTGTACGTGGGACCGTTAATGTACGCATATAACTCCCATGTACACCGAACCACACGAACGACCCCGTTTGAACTCGTGCTCAGCCGGCCCCCGCCGGAGTTTTCTCTTCGACGAACCGGCGGGGACGTTGCACCTGCCGATAGGGGAACGCAGCGTGCGGAGTTCCTTAAGACCCTGGACGCGACGATCCAGAAGGCCTACGGGAGCTTGCGACGCACGCAAGCCCGTGACAAATGCGACTTCGATAAGCGCGTTCGAACGGTTAACACACGTCTCGAGCATGCCCCGCTGGCAGCCGCGCTAAGACGACCGCCGCCAGCGTCGTCACGAACGCGCAGCACTTGCTCGACGTGAACTTGTGGGAGAGCATCACCACGTCAGGCCCCGACGCCAGCGTCGCGCGGAGCTGAGCAGCCACCACAAGTGCTCCGCGCGCACGTTCGCTGCATAGAACGGCGTCTTAGTCGCCATGCGAGAGGGCGTGCTGCGGTGGGGGAAGGCCGTTCGCACAGCGGAATTGCGCGGGTCGCCGCGTGCGAGCGGCGTTGAGTGCGCGGTGTGACGCGGCATTCGGCGTGGTGGCGGGGGTGCCGGTGCGGGCGCGCGCCGAGACTTTGTGTAGAAGGCGCCGCTAGGTCTCGCTGGGGAGATCGCTACGTGGACAGGTGTGGGTGTTACGCGTGACGAAACGCGGCCATGGGCTAATGGTGGGTTATCTTCGAAAATGAACCCCTCCTCTTCTAATGGACCAAATTGTACAGTACGGTGCGCCCTGAAACTATAAGGACACCAATGGAATCCTGATCTGCCACATAAAAACCAAAGATATGATGGTGTCAGGAGCGTATATTGAAGCACAGAGGAGGAGTATCAATATTATGTAACCTCTTTAATGATTGAGTATGTCAGTAGTCCGTTAAGTTTAAAACCCTTAAAACGACCAGGTGGTCGTTTTAAGGGTTTTAAACTTATCGTTTGTCCATATAATTACAGTGTACACTGTAATTATATGGACAAACGAGTCAGTGCCACCCAAATCATTCTTCATGTCACTTTCAATAGGAAGTGCAGCCCCCATTCCTCTACAGGAAAGCAATGCAACACCTTTGCATCGACCCAACAAGATTCTGCAGAATACTGTGGTCGGTGTCTTGCCAGCAATCCACAATAGCTTCGAAAAGCTCTACAGTATCATTAAAGTGTCTCCCATTACCATAAACCTTCCTCGCCAAGATTCCCCATAGGTTTTCTATAGAGTTTTGGTCCGGTGACAGAGAAGGCCACTGTAACACAGTAACATCGTTGGCCAAAACCCACTTCTTTGTATATACAAAGAAGTGGTTTTTGGACAGCTATACATCGTTCTTTTTATATAAAAAGAACGATGTATAGCTGCGTTGTCTTCTTGCTATATACAGTTTTCTCCATGTGTTACAGTCGCAAATGGGAACAAATCATCATTAAGTAAAGTACAGTACTTGGCTGAATCCTGCTTACCGTACATGATAACCAAATTGTTTCGCCCGTAATAAGAAAAACAAAACCAAATCATTAACGAACCACCTCCTTGATGGCGTCTGCTTAAAATTTTCTTTTCTTTCCGCAAATCGTGATAATAATAATGGCCATCTGGACCGTCTAAATTAAAATTCTTTTCATTGGAAAATATTACTTTGTTCCATTTATTATCATTCCAAGTGACATGCTTCTTAACCCAATCAAGGATTTGTTGCATATGAAATGGGGACAACCTAGCACTCAAAAACTTAGTATACTGTAGACGCGTATCCTTCTTTAAAAGAGCTTGAACCCGAGACCTGTGTACAGGTAGATCAAGCGCTTTACGTGTTTGATTGGCCGACTTTTCACCCTTAGATACCTCTCTAATGACTCTCCTCTTTAAAGCCAGAGTTAGTTTTGGGGGCCTTCCCGTCCTCTTTTCTGATCCATATGCCGGCGGGTTCTTTAAAACGTTTTGCACGACAGTCTTCGAGCGACTGATGGACTCAGCTATCTCCCTTATTGACAAACATTCATTGTGAAGAACCAACATCTGCCCCTTCTCCACGTCGGTGAGTTGTTTTCCTTTGGGCATGTTGAACTGCGGTGTGGTGGGCAATTGTGGTTTGTGATGGCTGTGCACGTTAGGGAAGAAGGTACACCCAGTTACTGCAAATAGTGTAAGCGAACAGTTAGTGAAACTACGCCCATTACTGTACGTGTCCCTAATTTGTGTGGAGTGCTGCCAGACCAAAATATAAATAGTGACACGCACACCTAATGACGTTCCCACGATATTAGTGTAACCTCAAAAAATTTACTGTTTTTTATGGGGCCGAGTAGATCGAACTCTATCATGTTCTGTTTTGTTGCCACGCGCCACTGTAACGCGATGGACGACGACGAATTCATTCATGCATGCATAAATTCAGCTCGTATTGATCCTCGTCGACTCTCACAACACAGCACTTTCCCCCCCCCCCTTAAGCCATTCTCTTCACTATGCCCTTTTCGGCTTCCTCAATTGTTGCCGCATTCGAGCGGCAAATTCAAGCACGATCAACACTCCCGCGCACATCACCAGCCACGCCTCCAACTCAACAAATCTGTCAAGCGCCATCTTTGCCGCTTGGTGCGTCTACACCCGTGCCAACACGCTCACTGCAGCACGTTCTCACCGGCGCTGAACGACTCAAAATTGTCAAATGGATGATGCGCACTTCACTTACAGAAGGGGATAAACACATTCCTGCCAAAGCCGTGCGCAATTTTCCGGCATCTTTCAGGGGTACGCTAAACGCCAATATCCTGAAAGCGTCCCGATTGTGGAAGACCATGGCTGAGTTCCTCAATGAGCATGGTGATGTACAACGTGGACACATTTCGTCGATCACTCGTGTGACGAAGAACGGACACAAGCGCGTCTACTTAAAGGCCAAGTCTGGACGTGGCCGCAAACGTGCGGCTTGGGTCGAAGCAGTACATCAAGATCTGGTGGCGGAGTTGGACCGTCTCCGTAAGCTCGGTGTGAAGTTCAACATGAAAACAATGAAATCCTTTGCCCTTCATCTCATAAGAACAACCGAAATTACAGAGTACAGCTCGAGCTTTATTGATCCCAAGACGGGAAAGGCTATCCCCTCAATTATTTCACCACGCTGGATACAATCGTTTTGCGAGCGCTTTCAGATTGTCAGTCGCGCTCACACAGGTAAACTGCTTACTTCTCCTGCAAAGGAGATTTTTATTGAGAAGGAAGTGGCATATCATTTAGGAGTTTTGGCGCGTCAGTTCCGCAGCAAAGAACTCGATGAGAATAATGTTGAAAACGCAGACGAGACTCACTTCGTCATAAACCTTGACAACGGGAGAACGCTCGGATTCTCAGGGGAGAGTGAGGTCAAGTACGCTGATGTTGTGTCCGGGAGAGACGGAATGACGATGGTCGTTAGAATATCCGGTGGTCGGGATGCGGTGATCGAGGCATCGTTTATGGTGTTTAAAAATGCATCGAGGGGATACCCGATCAGAGGCGTGCCTGACAATGTACCAGGCGTTGCTTATAGAACGGGACCGAGGAGCTGGATGGATACTGTAGTCATGCCTGAATGGCTGTCAGAACCGCGTATTATTGGTCCATTACCACACGAGCGGCGGCGGATTTTATACGTCGATAACTGCAGTGGACATAATTACACAGCTGCTTTGGCTGCTGCTGCGAATAATATTCGCACCGAAATACGATATTTTCCCAAGAACGCCACGCACCTCATCCAGCCATGCGACTCGTTTGCTGTCCAAAAAATTAAGCGCGCATGGACAACACGATGGGAGCAGCATAAAATGGAACGCATTATGTGCAACGATTGGACCGATGAGTCCGGGAAGATTAAAAATCCCGGTAAGCATTTTTTTCTGCGTTTAGCAGTTGATGCAGTCCGTGACATGAACGCACAACGAGATGAGAACGGCCTGACATACGCCAGGAAAGCCATGATTCGCATAGGGATGGCTTGTAATACGAACGGGTTGTGGGAGGAAACGCAGCTCTTTCCTAACTTGCAAACAATATTTAAGAAGCATAGAAAACACTTTGATGGTGAGCTCGTCGTTGAGAAGGCCAGCTAAAAAAGTCGTCTGCATCAAGAATTTACAATAAAGAGAGTTTCTCGTTCATTTTTACTTGATAAGCTTCGTTCAATACCTATTTGACCATATCCCTTTTCACAATCCTTTTTTTATGAGAACACGTTTCGAGACGAGAACCGAAGATACCCGTTTGGTTTCCACGTGATATCAGTTGGCGGCCTCTGGCACACGAGCATGCCTCTCATGTAGAGTGCCAACCTTGTGCGAGAGCGAGCACGCAGGGAAGCACCGGCGTTTCCGCCTCGCATGCTCATTTAACTTTTGAGCGGTCCTCTTTCATTTTAGCCGTCTGGACGTTCAACACTTGAGATCTTTTTGTTTCGCTGCCACTGAGATGTTCCCTTCATATATTTTGCACCACGCAGGAATTGTTTTGTCCGTCACGCCACAGATCTGCCACTTTGTGCCTGCCCTAACGGCCAGCCGCCGTGCGGCGGCTTTTTGACAGTCTCAAATACAGTGCGCAATACTCGTTGGCCAGTGCATTGGTCCTTCTACTGTTGCTTCTCAATAAAACATAGACGTAGAGCTGGAGATGCTGTCCATTGCTAGAGAGATGATCGTAAAGAGTTCCGAGTCAGGCGGGTCGACCCAAGAATCGACGCAAGCAAATGGCTGCAGCGCCTCAACGAAAGTCGTGCTGCTCTGCATGTGGTTCAAATTGCCCATTATGCGACTACATGCGAAGCCTGAGACACCTTGTAGCTCTACCGCAACGTCATTCGGAGGTGAGGTGAAAGAGGAGTACCCAAGGAAGGGTACGGCAGGAAACTTACTAAATAAAAAGGGTACGGCAGGAAACTTACTAAATAAAAAGGGCACGTAAGAAAAATTCTCTAAAATGAAATGCAGATTCCTTTCGTTTTTTGAGGCCTGCGAGAGTGTCACTATTTCTATCAAACGGAATTACTGTAGGTGTCATCATATACCGTTGTGGGTTATATAGTGAAACTACGGCTTTTAGGGAAACTTGCACTAATATATGTGACTCTTGTCAAAATCTACCTCACCCCTTTACTGTGCGTGTCACTAGTTGCAGTAACTGGGTGTAGTGTAGTCTTCTGGTTGGGTATAGTGACATTCTACCGTCGGGTAGAAAGGGTAGAATGGCTTTCATAAATAAATTGTTGTGGGGGGGGGGGTGCCCCCGTTGATAGCCAACGAAATGGCGGGGGCCCCACCCCTTCGTTTGCAGCTCATTTGGAGGGGGGTGCCCCACTTTGGCCCAAAAAATAAGGTCACGAAGGGCGCTGGTCGCCCATTGGTTGCAAATGCTTTACTCCTATTGGCTACAATACCGACACGCGCCACGGCGCAGGGAACACAGCAAGGCCCCCAGAATGACCCTGTTTACGGGGGTACCTGCTGCACACGCCCACCAACCAAGGAAACGACCAAAACAGGGTCGCAATCAAGGGTTCGTGTTGGAACCAAACAAAAACTTGAAACACGGTCAACATGGGAATAGACAAGCATTACACGTGTGCATAACTGGGAATAAAATAATGATCCATGCTGTAACCATTAGCTCATTGAAACCAACACAAATTGGCGGCTTTTTGAAATGGGCGCAAATCGCCGCGCAACTGAGGTGAGGAATCAAATCATGAGTGTACCCGGCGATTTGGTTATTTGCCCCAATTTTTGTTTTCCATTTCCGATCGATACCATTCCGACGATATTACCCTGATATGACCTCCGATCCCGCCTCTTTCTCCTTCAGTTAACCACGCCTACACCAGTACTCCAACCTCATTTCCAAATCCCATCAGCTCTCATCCCAACCTATTGCACAAAATGACTTAGTGCGTCAAGTTGTTGTGGCCCCTGAGATACAGAAATGCTTCGCTTCTGCTTTACATCAACTGCGCTTCCACGATTCCACGCTTCCGCTAACGCTGGATCTCAACCAATTCCTTGTGAACCCAATGAGGTACAGAAATCTCTATTGCTGTGCGGTTTTTGAACGCTTTGTTTGTACTACCAATACGTGCAACAACCATGACAGCGAGTGATATCTCGACGATGACTTCTAGGATTGTATGGCTTGCTCCAAAAGCTGCCAAACGTGCCGGAGAAGCGGCTTGTAAGGCCAAAATGACTGAAATTATAACATACTACGCGTCATCCCTTGGTAAAGGCTTCACCGGAGAGTGGACAAAATGCGTAAACCCTGGTGACCAGAGCGACAACTTCCTGATCAATGCTGGCATAACAGCTCTGACCCCGAAACGAGGTGTACCTTTGGGATCATGCCGCGTTGGATTTCTACTTCGCGCACAGGCTACCTATTTCGAAGAGGCAAGGAAGGGCTCCCAGGAGTCTATTGTTCTATATTGGACACATTATAACTGCCTCCGAGAGCTAGCAGCAAAATTTGCCTACATGCCTACAATTGCCATTCCCATACACCTCGGGAACCATTGGGGAATGTTATGCGTAATTCCCAATGCCGAGAAAGGCGAGGCCACAATATTCTGGGGGGACAGTTTGGGTTGGAACCCTCCGAAGGGCCTAATACCGCTTTTTCGCCCACTATTACTGCTCTTGTTTCGAGGGACCTCGATTAGTATTGACTACAGAAACTACATGTCTTCCGTTCTAAAGTTCCAGAAGCAGCAAGACATGTATAGTTGTGGCTTCTATGTCATTGCGGCGTTCTCGACATTCTGCGAGGGGTCATCCACAGGCATAGATGTACCTGGTCTGTATTCTACTTACTCCTCCGTTCTTACGGAGCGGTATAGAACGTTTTGCTTTGAGAAGTTTGTCGATGCCATTATGCAGCGCCCTGCTGAGCCCTCTGCTGTTATTCCTGCTGTCTTTAACGACATGAGGATTGAGCGAGACGGAAAAATAGAAGTTATGAATGCGTCGGTTGAAATGTACGTCATCCATTCTCGTAGGGAGCATCTACGCCGCCATGATGATCTCTGCATTGCTAGC